CTATCAAATCCTGCACCCCTATCAAATCCTGCACCCCTTATCAAATCCTGTACCCTAATCAATCATATCCTGCCAAAAATTAAGGAATAAACAGGAATTTTCCCCACAGAGATAGCAAAAACCAAAGATATTTTTGGAGGCTTTGAAGGCCTAACATATCCTGCACCTCTATCAAATCCTGCACCCCTATCAAATCCTGCACCCCTTATCAAATCTTGTACCCTAATCAATCATATCCTGCCAAAAATTAAGGAATAAACAGGAATTTTCCCCACAGAGATTGCAAAAACAAAAAATATTTCTGGAGGCTTTGAAGGCCTAACATATCCTGCACCCTTATCCGATCCTGCACCCCTCTCAAATCCTGCACCCCTATCAAATCCTGCACTCCTATCTTATTTTGCACCCCAATCAATCATATCCTACCAAAAATTAAGGAATAAACAGGAATTTTCCCCACAGAGATTGCAAAAACCACAAATATTTTTGGAGGCTTTGAAGGCCTAACATATCCTGCACCCCTCTTAAATCCTGCACTCCTTATCAAATCCTGCACCCCTATCTTATCCTGCACCCCAATCAATCATATCCTACCAAAAATTAAGGAACAAACAGGAATTTTCCCCACAGAGATTGCAAAAACCAAACATATTTTTGGAGGCTTTGAAGGCCTAACATATCCATGCACCCCTATCAAATCCTGCAACACTATCAAATCCTGCACCACTATCAAATCCTGCACTCATATCTTAATTTGCACCCCAATGAATCATATCCTGCCAAAAATGAAGGAATAAACAGGAATTTTCCCCACAGAGATTGCAAAAACCAAAGATATTTTTGGAGGCTTTGAAGGCCTAACATNAAGCAAATTTATTTCCTTTCTTGAAGCTTATATTACATGCATGAACCAAAGCCAGGATAACAGGTAACAGCAGGGTTGGGGTTTTGTCCAGATTCCATCAGTTCTTCTGGAATCCAGAGGCCAAATTCAAGCATTTTTTTGCTCTTAAAAAATACAATCATAATACAAGGAATGTTGTTTTTTTTTTAATTTTGTTTCACTTCAACTCCTCCTCCTCCTCCTATTCCCTGCATACAGCAAATGCTCCAAAAAAGGAGGCAGGAGGGAAAAATCTAAACCACAAACACTCCCCCCACTAAAAATTCCCTAAAACTCACTGAGATGGGAGGACCAAACCTAGAGAAAAAAAAATACAAAGAGAACAACAGGAACAGAGCTCTGACAGGAGCAGTACCCTCAGGATTTTCCTAGAAATAAAAACATTTCCAACATTTGTTCAATGAGATGCTCCAAATCCCTTCGGATGGCTTCTCCCAGGGTTTGGAAAAGCAGCTGGATACACAAAGATTGGTTCGGAAAATAAAAATATTGCATTCTTGGCAGAGTCTGCTGGATATCCTGGATATCCTGGATAATCCCAAGGCCAGCAGAGCGAGGTGGAGATGGCAGAGGCTGCCACAGGCTCAGTCCCAGGGTGCTGCTGGGTCTGGCAGAGGTTTGGATTTGGGGACTGTCCCCAGGTCCCTGCTCAGTCCCCTGTCACCTGGGTGGCCTGGGTGTCCGAGCTCTGGTTGGTGGACTGGATGAACATGGGCTGGGTGATGTCCTGGCCCGCTGGCATTGTCACCTGCTGGATCTGGTACAGCTGCTGCAGGCACAGAAGGTGACACAGGAACCTCTGTCAATGCTCAGCACACTCAGAACCTCCCCAGATTTGTGTCCCCAAAACCCCAAACCCACCATGAGCTGCCACCAAACCTGCTGCTAATTCCCACCAAAGTCCTT